TCCCGGTGGTCCCGGTGGTCCCGGTGCCCCGGGGCTCAGTCGGGGTAGACGATGAAGCCGGAGAAGGTGCTGTACTTGTTGGTGTTGCCGCCGTGCACTTTGCCGCCGTCCAGGCGCACGCAGACCTCGTCGCCCACGTCCAGGTGCAGGATGGCGCTGTTGCTGGCGTAGTCGTAGTTCTGGTCCGCGTCCTGCGCGATGGCGCTGGCACGCACCTGGCACGGGGGGCACGGGGCTGGCACCACCTCACCTGGAACCCACCTCACCTGGCACCCAATGCACCTGGCCCTGACACCGCCTGGCACGCACCTGGCACGGGCACGGGACTGGCACCCACCTCACCTGGCACCCAACACACCTGGAACTGACACCGCCTGGCACGGGGGGCACGGGGCTGGCACCACCTCACCTGGCACCCGGCACACCTGGCACCCAACACACCTGGAACTGACACCGCCTGGCACGGGGGGCACGGGGCTAGCACCCACCTCACCTGGAACCCACCTCACCCGGTACTGACACCGCCTGGCACACACCTGGCACGGGGCTGGCACCACCTCACCTGGAACCCAACACACCTGGAACTGACACCGCCTGGCACGCACCTGGCACAGGCACGGGGGTGGCACCACCTCACCTGGCACCACCTCACCTGGAACCCACCTCACCCGGTATTGACACCGCCTGGCACGGGGGGCACGGGGCTGGCACCACCTCACCTGGAACCCACCTCACCCGGTACTGACACCGCCTGGCACGCACCTGGCACGGGGGGCACAGGGCTGGCACCACCTCACCTGGAACCCGGCACACCTGGAACCCACCTCACCTGGCACCCACCTCACCTGGCCCTGACACCGCCTGGCACGCACCTGGCATGGGGGGCACGGACAGGGCTGGCACCCAACACTCCTGACACCCACCTCACCTGGCACACACCTGGCACGGGCACGGACAGGGGTGGCACCAGCTCACCTGGCACGGGGGACACGGGGCTGGCACCACCTCACCTGGCACCCACCTCACCTGGCACCCAATGCACCTGGCCCTGACACCGCCTGGCACGCACCTGGCACGGGGGGCACGGGGGTGGCACCCAACACTCCTGACACCCACCTCACCTGGCACGGGCACAGGGCACTGGGACTGCCTGGCACCCACCTCACCTGACACCTGGCACGCACCTGGCACAGGCACAGACGGGGGTGGCACCCACCTCACCTGGCACCGACACACCCTGTCACCAACCCCACCTGGCACCCACCTCACCTGGCACCCACTGGCAGGGGCACAGGGCTGGCACCCCCCATCCCATCGCCCCAAAATTCCCATTTCCCCCCAAAACTCCCATTTCCCCATCCCATCCCCCCAAATTCCCATTTTTCCCCCATTTCCTCCCCAAATTTCCATTTTTCCCCCCATTTTTCCCACCAAATTCCAATTTTTCCCCCATTTCCCCCCTTTTCCCCCCATTTCCCTC